TCAGGCACAGTTATGAGCATGACATTGTTGGATCAGCCCATTTACAATTCTACTGTGCATTAGATTTAGAATGAGAAATGTCCCCCCTTTGGGAAAGGCCTAATGATACTTCAGTCAATGGCACCGCCCTGGGGGGTGCTCAAGAGTTTATTTTAGTTATAGTAAGAATTTTATGGCACTTGCAACACAATAAGGTCATATAAGTGTCGAAGAATAGAGGTGTTACAAGAGAATAATACACATACAAAAGGAGGAGAGATAAAGAAGACAGTTATTTGATAGGAAAAAAAGGGAGCAAACCACACCAGAGCACCTACCAACTACCCATTGAGCTGAAGAGAGGCACATTCACAGTGACAAAACAGCCAAACATTAACTCTTTGTCTCCGGCAAGCCGCTCCCAGCAGCTCACAGTCAGAACCCCTGTGCCGGTGAGCCGCTAACAGCTGCTCGCGCACATTCCTTTACGACGACTTCGACATCAAATTACTTTTCAGCAATTGCCGAAAACAGGTCTCTTTTCTCTGGAGTTCATCTATTAGACGAAGAACTATCAAAATAGGTTCACTTGATTTGACTTCATGACCCATTTAGTGATATTTTCATCACTTTTAGACTTAGTACCAAAAAAAGGGGCCCTGGCATAGTGGGTATACCCCCCTCGGAGATAAAGAGTTTAAGAATTACTTGTCTTTTACAGGTTTTTTTTGAGCCATGAGAATACTCCTCTTCAAGGACACCAATCAGAGCAGACTACACGCTACACACATGCATGCCCTGGCCCAGATGGTCATGGAATGAGAAAGATTCATGGACATGACTCAAACCTGACTCCAGAGTAACTCCTTTTGCACATTCTCATAGGACAAGAAGAGTGATGTACATTTGAATTATAATAAATGTGAAGCGTGTTGACAAAATGAGTTGCCTCTCGGATTCGAGCCCTACGGAAATAGATATATCACGCTTATAGGTGAAGTTTTTACAATTTATAAGTATGAAATAATAAAAGGCATGTTATAGTCAAAGAACATACAACAAGGCTTAACAATCAGCTACATACAAAGATTCAACTTGTTCAGAACAGTTCAAGTTTCCCAGAATTCCCATAACACCAGAAAAACTGGCACTTGCACATCAAATTTTAGTGTCGCGGTAAGAGATCCAAATTATAGACCAACGAAGAAAACGTTTGCCTAGGCTACCTTAGTGAAGTCAAACTTCAAGGTCATGTGTTTGGTGGGTACTGGCCTCCTCTCACTCTCCTTGCCCTCCTGGAACAAAATCACCGTGGGCAACTGCCTCGACAGCGCCCCAATGTTGATGTTATATCTGAAACACACACAAAGAGATCTCTGTCAATGGTGATGTTATATATATATCTGAAACAAACACAAAGAGATCTCTGTCAATGGTGATGTTATATATATATCTGAAACACACACAAAGAGATCTCTGTCAATGGTGATGTTATATATATATCTGAAACACACACAAAGAGATCTCTGTCAATGTTCATGTTATATCTAAAACACACACAAAGAGATCTCTGTCAATGTTCATGTTATATCTAAAAACACACACAAAGAGATCTCTGTCAATGGTGATGTTATATATATATCTGAAACACACACAAAGAGATCTCTGTCAATGGTGATGTTATATATATATCTGAAACACACACAAAGAGATCTCTGTCAATGTTCATGTTATATCTAAAACACACACAAAGAGATCTCTGTCAATGTTCATGTTATATCTAAAAACACACACAAAGAGATCTCTGTCAATGGTGATGTTATATATATATCTGAAACACACACAAAGAGATCTCTGTCAAAATCTCTCAATTGAACGAAACACGAGCAGTTGGTCACAAACTGATGCAGATCACACATAGCTGTATATTGCAGTTGTAACCTTTAGAGCCATTCCTGCTGCAGAAGACAAAACAAAGTACAAACTAGAGGATATAAAATCAGTTAATAAATCTATGATGACCAATTGCTCAACCACACATGATTCTTCCACACAGCCCATCCTCTTTCCATTGCCCCTCCCCTCCTCCCCTCTTTGTAAACTATCCCTGTCCACTTGCTTTTCTTCCTGTGCTCTCAGAATCCAACTGACAAGAACAAAAGAGGAGAAAATCTTATCCAACTGACAGGAACAAAAGAGGAGAAAATCTCAGAATCCAACTGACAAGAACAAAAGAGGAGAAATTCTCAGAATCCAACTGACAAGAACAAAAGAGGAGAAATTCTCAGAATCCAACTGACAAGAACAAAAGAGGAGAAAATCGATTACTGAAAACTTTAAAAAGCACAAAGTAAATTACAATGTGATTATGATGCATGTGAATACATTTTTTTAAAATAAAGCGAAGGACACAAATGAACAAAATCATCTCAAGACAAATCAATCCACAGCAAAGCTTAAACAATGTGAAGATCTCATTCTAATGTAAACTAAACTAGCCCCTGCCACACCCACATTGGTGTCCAGGAGGACAAATCAAGCATCGTTTGTGAGCTTTTTTGGGGGGGCTGCAAACATATTTAGTGACGGCTGTCAGTGTCAGGGAAATATTGTACTTTCTGTGAGAAGAAAAGGGACTTTGAGCAATACATCTGACTTCTCTCAACATTAATATAGTGTAAAGCGCAGAGAGCCTGCTGTTGAGCGGGGATATGCGCTATACAAATGCTATAATTTATTATTATTCCTCTACCCATCCTGTATTATGTCCGTGATAAAAACTTTACAGTCTCCATTTTTTTACAAGAAGGTTATCAACATCAACACCGCCTTTTCTATCCAATTTCTCTCTAAAAATAGTTCTTTTTTTACTCTACATGCAAGGAATGAAAACTTTCCAGAAAACTTATTTTCAAACCATCACAAACTGACTCACTTCTCGGCAATCTCCGGGTAGCGCGACACGTCGATTTTGCCAAACTTGAGGTTGTCCAAACTGTACCTGGAACAGGGAGAGACATCACAATTAATTACTTTCCTGAAAAGCCCTTTCACAACAAAAGGACTGACATGGTGATCAGAAAAAAACCACCTAATCTGACAATAAACTCACTTGTATTGGTCAAGCACAACCCCATTATACAAACCCCTTCTTCTTCTTCCATTTACCCCCCCCCCCCTTCTCCATTTTCCCCTTTTTTTTTTTTTACTAGGAACAAGCAAGAACAATTCACAAACCTTGGTGAGAGTTTTCACAAACACCCTAAATCCTCCACTAATATGAAGATCTAAAAACAGCAGCTAATTCATAGTTGAGCTAGGATCCCCACGGTAGCTGACGGTAATTCCAAACAAAAATTGGCCAAAGCACACACTTAGTTTCGGGAATCTTATAATCTTATTAACCCATTAGCAGACGGATGAAAACCGAACTGTGATCTTTTTAAAGGAAACAGATGGGTCAGATGGGAATCCATCATCGCCGTGAGGTTACACTTACCCATGCGACAACTCTGAGAAGACTGGAGCAAACGTGACGCATTTGGGGGACCACGCCACAAAGAACGTGATGAGCCATGTCACTTTCCTGTCTCTTTCAATCTCTTCCTGGAGAGAAAAAAAAAACAAAAAACAACCCACAATGATACTTATTTATTCAATCTTGAATACCATTTTTTTTCCACTTCAGACAGCAACAAACATAATCAATCACTTCAGACAGCAACAAACATAATCAATCACTTCAGACAGCAACAAACATAATCAATCATTTTATTTTGTATTATATCACTTTTCATTTTTCTTTGCAATAATTTCAGTTGGTGAAAACCAAGTCAACGATCTCAAACATATTTTCTTTAAAAAGCAAAAATAATATAGGCAAAAATCAAAGATTTTCAGCGCATCAAATTATAAAGATATTTGGGGGGAAATCTGACATCCCTGTAAAGTTATTACTTACATCTCCGTAAACACTTACACAAAAATAAACACACACATTTAAGTAAACACTAACACATAAATAAACACACACATAAGTAAAGATCTACACATAAATAAACACACATAAGTAAAGATCTACACATAAATAAACACACACATAAGTTAACACCTACACATAAATATTCGCAGGTAAAAGTAAACACACACACACACAAATAAACACTTACACACACAAAAGCAAACACTTACACACATAAATAACCACTTACACACACAAAAGCAAACACTTACACACATAAATAACCACTTACACACAAGTTGGGCCCCCTGAAGTAGACGATGCTCTCAGGCCCCATGTACACTGGCTTAGGCAGGAACATCACATGAGCTAGGGACACAGAGTCAAAGAAAAGCAGAGGTTATAACAATGAGAGAAAGCACATCTGAGTGGGGACAGAACGGGTCTATGGAGCTTTTTCTTTTTTATTCTTTTTTTTTCTCTTCTCTCTTTTTATACTCTTTTTTTTTAGTAGAAGTTTTACGACGTAACTGCATTCGGTCATATGAGCGCCAGAAGATTAGAGGTGTTACAAGAGAGTAACAAGCACAAAAAAGAAGGAGGGGAGATAAAGACGATAGATGTCTGATAGGAAAGAAGAAGCAAACCACACCAGAGCACCCGCCAATCACCCACTGAGTGAGGACAGAACGGGTCTGAGGAGTTGGAGCTATCCTGATGTTCATAGCCTGAGGCAGAAGAGACAACATCTGACCATCCACTAGAGACGCTGTGACTTGGTCACTTATGTAAACCCCAAAATTCCCAGCAACATGATGCGTTTGTATCACACGGGTCGAATGAACAAAGGTACAAAATCGTGAATAGGAAATTTATTAGCTAAGGAATATGCAGGAGTTGTGTTCAGTTCTCATAACTACGTCAGTAAAAAAAGAATTTAAAAATGCACCAGGAGCAGGACTGAAAAAACAGGGGAAAAAAAGAAAAAAACTGATCGCAAAAACGATTGGTTCCCTCACACTTTAAAGTAAGTTATAAGCTACGGCAAATCATTTTTTTCTTCACTACACATTTTCATTTCTTACCTAAACATAGCAAAATGTACAAGAGTCCGTAGGAGATGCTGTAGTTGAAAAAGCAGATAGTGCTGAGAGCCTTGGTGAACAAACAAGCCGTCGAGACATACTCCTCAATGTTGCCTGCAAGAGAAGAAAGGCAGCATGTGAGAGACAAACTTTCAAAGAACAAACATGATGAGTGCATTTCACTCCCTTGCCAGCACAGATTCCAAGATTCTACACCTTTTTTTTACACTTTGAGGTCACTTGGTGCATCAATGAGACAGCCGACAGTGAAAATTATCCAATCTGGTCACAACTAGGCAGGGCTGAGAAGTCTGTTGCAGTCACTCTCCTGACTGGGTCACCAGATGGGGTCAAAGTGTTAAAAATAATTACAACTAAACAAAAATAAAGTACCAGTTTGGCACTCATATTCAAGAAAACAATTATAATAACGCAATTCTGTGAAGAAATCAACACTCTTCTTAACCAAGCAAAAATATATACATGGCAAAAAAGCATCTCAGGCAGTACACCAAGCTCTGCCGTCTCTCAACTTTCTCGAGTGTGTCACGTTTTACAACATTCGGAAGGAGTTCCGCAGAGGGCCAGCCGACCCTAACCCTAACCCTTGTATAGTTTGCTCAGTGGACCTTGTCATGGTAGGTGCCGGCCCTCTGTGGAACTCCTCCCCAACATTCAGTCTACAACTGATATTTATATGAGAGGCCCAAAGAACAACAAATTATGCTTTATACTTTATAGTCGGCAATGGATGAGTTGAAGTCGTCGGGGGAGTGAAAAATAGATTAGCTCATCCCAAGTCCAACTTAACCGTTGGGTTATGTAAAGAAGAAGAGGTGATGGGACCCCCAAAAAAAAATCAACTAAACCGAAGATCAACCAAAGCGAGTTCAACACATGCGGAGTCAACTGTATATTTTGAACTTGATTTTTAAAAAATCACTGTGGTATAGTTTTTTGCCTAAGATGAGAGACTGTTGCAACTTGTGGTGGAGATGAGACAAAAGAGTCCAGTAGGTCTACTCTATTCTATATATAGCCTACACATATGGCAAATGTTTGTTTGAATGCGACAAATCACTCCCACTAAAGTCCACAGAAAAAAGAATCATGATAATGCAAAGCATGATTAGAAATTTTCAAAAGACATACAATTACAGTATAACAAATAGATCTAGCTCAAATTCGTCGGGACCGTCCTCAGTAGTTTGAGGGATCCGTAGTTCAAGGGATATCTTACAAAGATAAAGAAGAAAAAAATATCCCGGGGCCACAGGCACACTTCGACGGATGCGTGATTTTGAGTCTTCTTTGTTTGACCTTTCCATGTTATACTGTACTTAGACAAAATGAACAGAGATTGCATTACTCATTACCAACCTTGCTTTCGATTTTTCAACACCACAACACAAGCAAGGAAAGTGAGCCATTCGTATTCCCTCTGAAAAGACAAAAAACAATCAAAGTCAAGATAATTGTGCTCAAATTGTTCAATTTCAAGGAAGGTGTATCACAGAAAAATACTCTATGACAACGTGACCCACATCATTGTATCACAAATTTCTTCTTCTCGTTCATCTTTATAAGAACATCCCAGTCTCTAGTGTGAAGGCTGGAGGCCGCTTTTCACTGCAGGTCCCCTAGACTCAAGGCCCCCATATAGGCCTACAGTTTTGGGTCTTTGTCTAAGGCTGGGCCAATAGCCGTCGGGAATCTCAACAAAATTCTTGATGTCTGATTTCCAGGGAAAAGGAAGGAAACAGTTGTCAAGCGAAAGAAAAAAAAAACCCAGCCTGAAAACTGATGATCGAATTAAACAAACTGATACTAGATTTAGATCTAGAACTAGATCTAGATTAGATCTAGATCTAGATCTAATCATCAAACGTAAAAGACCTCCATGTTCACTATGTCGCAATTAACGCCGCGTTGTTAGTTGTCACAGCGTCACTCTGTCACAACGGCCCTTGCCTTGCGAAAACTCACCAATTCTAACTGGCAGGAGCGGAATAACGTTTCACACACACCGGGAGTGCTCTTCAAAATGAAATAAAGAACTGCAATGAGTAAGTTCGATATGTAATGAGGCTTTAGCAGAGGCCTCAACTCTTGAAAGAAAGTCATCTTGCACTGTCCGCTGTTTCTTCTTTGATCTTGAACTTGAGAGAGATGAAGAAAGTGAAGCAAGACCACAACCGGAAGTTCCCGAATGTTGACAGTTGACGAGGGGCCAGGGGAGGCTACTCCAAAGAGGTTTCAGGGCTACACTCTTATTTATCTTCTTTGTCGGATTTCCTCTTCTTGAAGTTCTTTCGCCATTGATGCAAACTTCAAACAAATTTATGGAAACACGCGACCCGAATGACGATTCACAAATTCAACTTGTAGTGTTTCAGTCTTGCGAAGTCTTTTCCCCTCTAATGTGAATAGTCTGATGTCGTAGTTTTAGTATTATGACCATTGTATTCTATGTCACGTCTATTGTAAGCAGTACCAGTGATTGTGAAAGGCAGGATTTTCTTCTCTCACTCTCAAGCCACGCAGTTTTCGCCAAAGATTGGGCTTGCTTAAACTAGATCTAAGTTAGGCCCTAGATCTAGATATAGATCTATATGTAGTCTAGATCTAAATCTAGATATATATCTAGATCTCCAGATAGGTCTACTTAATCAGTGTAGGCTTTACATGAACGGAACTTGAATGATGAAACGTAGGCGTGACGAAGATCCTAACCTTCAAGCACTTGACTTTAGATCTAAGATCTAGATATCTAGAAGGTTGTAAGCCTGTTATCATCTGAAATCAAAAACAGCTTTCTAAAGAAACATGGAGAATTTGTATGAAATTCTTCAGTCCTCGCCACAAGCTTCTGCTGAAGAACTGAAAAAATCGTACATGAGGTTGGCACGCCAGTACCACCCTGACAAAATGTCTCATAGCCGCAGTAATGGCCAGGAGTCACTTTCAGAGCCGTCAAGATGTGAAGCTAGCAATGAACAGTCAGAGAACACTTTTCAAAAAAACTGCTCTGACGAATTTGTAAAAATTGACCGAGCATGGAAAATTCTGAGAGATTCTGAATTACGGACACAGTTTGATTTGAAATGGCAGGAACGCTGCCTCTCTCAAGACTTACCCATTCAAGACACTGTTCCGTACGAGGACTTTGACTGGGATGACTCTGAGGACATGTATACATATCCTTGTCGGTGTGGTAGTTTTTATCTTTTATCTGAGACCGATGTGAAACTCTTGTATGATATAGTGTGCTGTGAAACGTGTTCATTGACAATCAAAGTGGTGTACTCTTGAAAGTCAGAATGGGTTCCTGCTGCTGGCTTGCCTTGAATTTCTTATCAACAATTTCTTCGAAATCTGTTGACCATTCCAAGAGAGAATATGCCAAGTTTCTGGACACAAAAAGATGTTGAATTTATAGTTGTTAATGTTACAAGTGCTCTTTACTTGTTTTGTTTCTGTTGTATTCTATTTTATATGTTTTTAAATCATGATAATGACATCAATATAAAAGGGTAAACTTGAGTGTGATTCTTCATCGTGAGGGTTGCAGTTGTTAATTTATCATTTATAATGGTTCTTCTTAATTTTATTTAATTGCGTCTCGAGGTTAGTTTACTTCGAATTGTTAAATTTTTTGTCCCTTTATGATTGTGCAGCTTATTATTTTGTAAAAAAAACTCTTTTTTAAATGCAAGACAGTTTTCTTTGCATTTCAGGTGCGGGTGGGTTTTTTTCTCGAAAACACTAGGAAACACTCGAAATCACCTTTGTACCTTTGGATGAAATCATCATTTTAATATCAGAAGGCAGCCTAGAATCAAAGATTAGGCTAGAGATCTATGCTAGAAGGGAGTGTATAGTGTATACAGACCCGGTAACCGAGAACAAAGTCACAAAGTATACAGACCCGGTAGGGGAACTCTTTTGTGATTTTTAAAAGTTTCAGCGCCCTCTTGGCTCAGGGTAGACCTGATGCTAGAATCTCAGTATTTCTGGACCGGTCGAGGATAGAATAGCATTTCCAAATGGCGTGACGTGACAGAGAGAGATGGGCGGGTACCCGGAGATACAGGGGATACCCACGAGCAATAATAACAAGAGATACTTCAGCAAATTCAAAGTTCCTTTTATCACAAAGACGCATTCCTGAAAAATTTGGATCATTGTACAAGAAGTACAAAAAGCCAGAAAACATTTATGTTATAACACGTACAAAATATGTATTCAAAACAATGTCAATAAATACAATTATTACAAATTTTATATATATATATATACGAAAAATTCCCAAAAAAGACAGATATTTATGGATAGATTGAATTTTAACTATCGTTTGGGTGTGTGTGAGGGCATGTGTATATTGAGCAGTGCCGCCACCACCGGGGCGTCTCCTTCAGCGGTTTCCTAGTCACAGCCTGGGAGAGGGCATATGACCGTGTTGCCGAGTTGTGGGTTGAGGACTGGTGGGTTCCTCGTCTCGGGTGATCACTTGCTTTCAAACTTTCTCATAATGGGCTGACACCATCATGAAGAACGCTAGTGTGGCTGCTCTCAAAGCGATGAAATCATCATGTAGACAAAAGTGTGAATGCAGTTAGGTAACTTTGCATCGTGTGAAAGGCAAAGTGCTTATAATTGTATTTTAATGTATGGTTTTGTTTATGAGGAAATGGAATTTACGTACCTTGGCTTGCTCTTGTGGACAGTGTATAGCTCAACGACATCAGCTTTCGCACCAGGTGTGGTTCACACACTGGGTTGGCCTTCCCTCACGGCAGCCAGTACAAAAACTTTCTTGCCTGCAGCACATACTCTTTCAGTGCCAGGAACTGGTGATACTTTTGTGTCCCAGGGATTGTTTGTACGTCCGGACTGAGTTCCACTCTGTCTATTCTGCCACCAGAACGTATTGCCTGGATGTCAAGTAACAAAGAAGTAAAAAAAAAAAGACTTAGCAATAGCATGCAAATCAGAAATTGTCCTATATATATATAGTTTGTATCCTCTGTATCGTACCTTTGCACTGGTCTTTCCCCTCTGGATGAACTGTCATGGTGGCGCTGCCCCTGCTTGCTCTGGTACCGAATCGACTTGTACACGTAAACAGCACTCAAGGGGTCTGTTTGGCCAATTTTGGTGGATCGTGTCACAACAAATTTAGTCTTATAAGTATTTTCATGCTCTTTCACAGCCTCTGTGAACTCTGCAAAGCTCTTGAACTTGGCTCCCACTTCCATGCTGAATAGATCTAGAAAAACTAGAACTAGGTGTTGGGTGATTTCAGATTTACAAAGCAATAGCCTTGGGGCCAACAAAACGCTACTGGCAAGGTTCCCTCAGGGCTGTTTTGAAAATGTCACGCAGGTAAGCTTATATAGGCCAAGACCGCCTAGTCTCGCGGACTCTCGTGCCATTTGCCAATCTCGCTTAGAGACAAGTAGCATCTTTGGGGTGGATGGGGCAGGACTGTAAGGTCGTGGAAACTACCTCTTCCCAGCAAAATAAATCAAACAACAAAATTGTCTTCAAATTTATTCACCTGCAATGTCTTTTGGTACTAATAATCAATATTGAAGGACAATATGACAATGATTACCTTGTACTGACTGTGAGCACCATCACTCCATTCCAAATGGTGAGCTTTTTTATGGTCAGTTTCTTCCTCAACAGCTCCAGCGACTGTCTGGTAAATTCCTGGACATCTTGACGGTCACGTGTCATGTCGTCACTCAGGAAAATCACGCTGTCCCTGACAATTGTTGTGTCCCCTGTCCTATAAAATGCTACAACCGGGTGAACAGTCACTTGCTGTTTGCCAAAGTGAGCTGATTTAATCTCCGCGGTGTATGCAGCCTTCCGATTCTCGCCAAAATCCTGGAACATGACGGCTTTTTCTGTGAAACAAGAGTAATTGCAAAAGCAATGAGTTAAAAAATACAGCGATTTTTATAGTTTGCAAAATACAAAAATAGGGTGATATTTTTCCTTCTTCTGGATTCTGGCAGCACACTTTAAATTGGTGGTATTGCCAATAAGCCGTAAATAGGTGCTCCAAGAAGCTTCACCCTTTTGTTGGCTCCAGCAGGTCTTTCTCAAGATCCCTGAGCAGATCCCTGGCGAAGATATAAAATATTTACTTGTAGAAAGGCAAAAGGCATATATATATGTAGGTATAAAATTGCTTTGTATAATATCAGATCAGTCTTGATCTATGAATTACCTCAGAGAGCCCTCCTTCTGGCATTTCTCCATCTTCCCTTGCTCATTTCTCTGTCAACGCTGCCACTTCACTGTAGGTGTGGCAAATATTATGTCCCGCCATAAGACGGTGAAAAGTCGCATTCTGTTGGAACAATCGACACTTTTTTTTAAAGAGGCAGAGAAAGGTAACGGTGCTCTGCTACACAACATGTAGTGGTTTCAATATCAACATAATAAATGGAAAGAAAAGAAAACTGAAACACCTACCTGACACACAGTCTATCCTCGGGAATTTCCCATCAAAAGGACAGCAAAGGAAAGAGCGCCGTAAAACACTCACACACAAAAACGACATCCCTCTGGACTGTAAAATGTTTGAACTCATCGCAGAGGTCAAACTCTCCCAATCCTCAAAAGGCTCTCTGTATCTCCCTGTATTGCGCTTGGACGAGTGCATGGATTTTATGCACACGCTCAACCAGCTTGCGTGATCTCCACTGCGTGGTTTGCTTTATGACATGATTGAAACTCTCACTGTTTATGTTACCTCGGCTAGAGCCAAAACAGTGTCTGCTGATGGCCAGTGATGAATACCGGAGTACTGGGCTTGCAGCTGAGAACGTGGAGAATAACTGTAGCTGCTCTACTGTAAAGAGCACCCACCACTGACAATGTGAACAGCTGTCGTCCCAGCTGATTTCACTTTCTCCTGACAGCAGTCCGTAATATGCTGTGTGAAAAATGAAGCATGCTTCAATTTACTTCAAATTCTCACTCTTATGCCGTTGCGAGCGCCGTAAAACTCTTACTAAAACAAAACAAACAAAATCATCACTCAGAAATAGAATGGTACGTATGCCTCCAATGTCCAACCTGGAAATCTTGGGGGAGAGGGTGAGGGAGGACATCAATGTAGACAAAACGTGTACCAGATTTGAACAAGGTCAACTTACCTTCGTTGTCCCTGTAACATTCCTCATAAAATGTTGATTGAATAGCAACTCCCTGTAGTTTTTTAAATTCTTTTTCAATTTCCTCATTGGATCCGCTGTTCTAATATCTTTGCATATATTTTCCCTGTGTGGTTTCACAAAGAGATGCCTCTGTATGTTGTGCAGTCGCGTTTGTTGCCTTTCTTTTTATATATATATATATATATATATATCTTTCTGCCAGTCTTCTGGGCATTTTCTTTGCTCCCGGGCTCTGTTGAAAATTCTCCTCAGCCACAGTATACCGGTGTTTCCACAAGCTCTTATGGCTTCCGCTGTGATGTCATCTGGTCCTGGGGTTTTGTGTCATCTGGTCCTGGGGTTTTGTTCTTGGGTCTGGCTTTGAACGCCTTTTCGATTTCTCTGAGAAGTATTGGTGGTTCTGTTTGATCTCCATATGATGGTTGGAACTTTTATTGTTGTCCGTTGCAAGCCTCTGGGTTGAGTACCGTAGTTCTTGGAAGTAATTTTCCCATCTTTTCTTAATGGCATGATTGCTGAGAATGGGATTACCCTCTTTGTCGTTTATAATGCATGTCGGGTTGTATGGGTCTTTCCTTACCCGCGTGCTGTTCACACTTTTATAAAACTCACTAGGGTTTACCTTGCAGATTTTGGTTAGTTTCTCGCCTTGTATTTTCCATGCATTTTCTTTAGCTGTTTTGATCATTCTTTTGGTCTCTCTTCTCGCTTTCCTTTATTTTATTCTAGCGTCTGCCTTTGTCGCTCGCCGCGATTTTTGGGTCCTCAAATCACGGACGCAATTTTTGCATTTTTCAACTTCATGACATATTAGACGTGTATTTTGATGTTATGGTGTGCACGTACAGATCAAGTTATGTTCCTGCGAAGAATGTGGGCGGCCTACATTACATACTTTTATGCTGCTATTTTTCTTTTCTTTTTCCCTCTTTGTCGTGTCTTACTTTGTTGGTGTGTTCATTAAATGTTCTTTTTTTGGTTATATTTCTGATGTGTTGTTTTTCTATTCTTTTGCGTTTATATATTTAACGTAATGTCATTTAGTTGGATGTTGTTCCTACTTTTTTTAAAATTGTGCGATGTTAGAGCGTGTCTTCACCAAAACCGAATACTGAC